CCTTTAATTGGAGAAAACTCCCTTGCACCCTCTCGGGTATGTAAAAAGGAGGTGCGACAAATACCATTTATTCTCACGATCTCAAACAACATAACAAATTGTCCTTTTGACATGTTAGGAAATTCCACAATTACCGAAATAACTAATATCATATTGCCTATTCAATATGTTAAAAGAGAATATTTAAAACATTCTAGATCAAAAGAACTACAAAATTAGTGCAGCATCTTTCACTATGCAAAATATACATACAAAATTACAAATACAAATTCACATCAACAAATAATGTACAACTATAAACACATCTAAAATTGAAATGACATTATATGTATCATCTTGAGGTCAAAGTTTATCTGCCTGTTATATTTTCGAGAATAAGCATGAAATAACATAAATTTAGTATTAGTCCAATTACGCGTAACTGATAGTTAAATATTAAGTCACACAAAAACATATAAAGTGGAACAAGCTACCGTGTTTAAAGTCCACCAGAATCCAATTTTGAGGTCCAAAAGTACGAATACACCAACAACGATGCAGAAAACGTCAACGTGAATAATATACTTAATCGGTATTCTCCATAAGAATAAAGTGGTAAATATTCGTAAGATTGTTGGAAAAATTGGATGATTATTATGGAGAATAAGGTTTAGCTTGAGACGTGTCAAAGACACTGTCCTTAAGGATATTTTGCTCACACCATGATGAATAAAATTAGGCATATCCCCCAGAATTCAACAAGCTCTTCTAATATAAATTAGGAGCAGAACCAACAAAGATTAATCAAAAACAATCCAGCACAATAAAAAGAAATTGAGAAGAAAAGTGTTTGCTTTTTCAACTCTTTCACACCTTTTTATAAACACATTATACATATAAATAGTCCAAAGTGGATATATGATTGTCTAGAAAGAATCGTTACAAAACCAAAGGAAAGAAACGTAACATATTTAAAGGCCATTAAACATGGAACGTTATCAAATAGTCAGATTCAAAAAACTAATTGATTTTGATAGCCATAATAAATAATAATAGTCATTTAAAGCTAATAAAAATATTATATTCAAAGCTATTCAAGTTACTATTACACACATTAAATATATTCAAATTAATAGTATAATAAAGATCCATTAATATTATATAACAAGAATGAATCTAGACAACAATTTGAATATCTCTTTTTGAGTTACCAATTTTTTTTAACACTAAATATTATTACAATTTTATCCCATATTCTATCATATTTTTGAACAAATAATTCAATTTTGAAGGGTATAAAAGATTGTCAATATTTCAGGAATATTTTTGTCGTTCAATATTTAGAGATTCAACATTCGTGCTTTTATAATAATATATAGAATATAGATATAGATAGATAGATAATTTTATTTTATCATTTATTTTACCTTTTTATATCATAATTTTATTTTGTATCATAATTTTTCTTTATAATATTGCAAATTTATTATATTTAACAAACAATACGGTATATGTAACAACCATCCAAACAAACCGTAAAAGGTTCAAATTGTAAATTTACCGGTGATGCTCAGTGGACCACGGTAACGCAGAACGCGGTGGAAACCAGCCGGAATATCACCGGAACTCTCATTTTGTACCGCCGAATTGGCCTTCCGACGAGACTATCTCTCGTAACGACGACAATCATAGAAGAAAATTTCCCGGCGATGGCAACCACTTCAATCGCCGCCAGCATCACCACCACCACCACAAAACCCTAATTCCGAGCAGAATTTCGGTGGTTCACAGCCTCTTTCAGCTCGTAAGAGACCCTACGATCAATTAACATCTGGTACAAAGCATTATTCTCCCGCTCCTAATTATCAATTCCCCAAAAAAATAAAATCTACTGGTCCTAATTTGTGTGGCGCATTTGCTTATCAAGTGTAAATTTAGAGACTTGATTATTTCATTTTTTCATATCAAAAATTAAAATGTCATATATACTGACAGTACTTTCTTTTTCTGTAAGTTTTTTTTGTTGTTGTTGTAATTGGAACTAACTCTAATCTATTTTGTAACTTTGCATCTTCTCGACGCTTGTAACGAAGAATCTCATTTCATCAAAAATTATATACTGACGGTCCGTGTCGGAGCTGGGATTTTCACTAAGGGGGTCAAAATATTAAGAAGTAATAATTTTTTTTACTTAGCTACACAATGTAGCATGTTGCTTTGCCGCAACAGTACCTTTTAAGTGCATGATTGTGTAAAAAATCTTACACAATCATTATCGTCTGCTTCTTACATACATTTTCCTTTTCAAAAAACAATGATCTAGATTGTTGCTTCACACATTTGCTATCTAGTGGCCGAAGCAAACTTTGAACCATATTCAGATACAACGAGATTGTGTCTTGTGGGTGCAGATCACTTGAAATTTCCCCGAACGTATGCTAGTCGAGAGGCTATTCAGGTGCTGCTGACTCAATTTTTTGTGCATTTTCTAGTCATACGACGAGATGTGAAACATCTTGTGCCACAGCTAGCATATGCACTCATGTAACTGTATGTGCTACTTGGTTAACACGGGTTTATCGCTTGACTGATCAAATATTTTTATGGACAGAGGACTGAGATTTATGAATAGTCGAAGGTGCTGGGGAATTCTCAATTTATTCTCCTTCCTTTTCAACCATATAAACTTCTGTATGCACGCATGTTAGCTGAAGTTGGAAGGATATCGGACGCATTAAAGTATGTATCCTAGTTTATGTTCAGCAGAGTTCCTTGAAATCCTTTCAACTGGTTCCTTAGCATTTTTAATTTTAGGTACTGTCAAGCATTATCGAAATCACTTAAAACTGGCCGAACCCCTGAGACTAAAACATTGAGAACAGAGAAACGGGATAAGACACCTGTCTTGGAGTTCTTCCAGTGTCAGGCTCTGAAACACTTCTACTGTGCATTGACATTCTACCGCTATCTGCTGCCCATTCACTTATTGGCTCCATAGATGCTGAGGGCATCAGTGATGACATTGCCATGGTTGACTGACTACTTGAAACTCTAGACCCCGCAAACTGATGATGTTGTTCATTCCCTTGTAAACTGCCACTAGTTGGCATTGGTGGTGGCAATACGATGAGCCGTGCTATCAAAAAGGTTAAGCAATTTACCAACCAATTTTCCAGGAGCCAAATTTGTGGAGAACCCTCCCTGAATGCAGAAAGTTCCACCATAAGTAACTCTGAGACAATCATTCAACATAGATGAGAGGATAAAGAGATGACACTAACTGTTACATTTGACTCAATCTATCTGATCTGGTTTGAAAAGATGAGTTTGTCATGTATTTGTGTAGGATCACGTTGACCCGTCAAAGGAAGCAAGCTCAAGTAACACAGGAAGCAATGCATCAGGAGCTGGAGGGACATCACGCTTTCGCCGCTTTAGCTTTGGCTCCCAGCTTCTCCAGAAAACTATTGGATTAGTCCTCATACCCTGTCAAGGCCGTCAGGTATATTATTTATTTTTCTCCGCTGTCATCTTCTAGATTGTGGTCCTCATAAAGTTTGATGCCGAGACTTCTTTCCATTTGTCTTGATTCCTTGCAAGCAAAATTGGGTGAAACGAATAAATTTTATTATGATGAAAAACTTAAAAGATGGGTAGAGGAAGGGGCTGAACTTCCCGCTGAGGAACCGACCCTTGCACCTCCACCAACCAGTGCAGTTTTCCAAAATGGAGCACCAGATTATAACTTGAAGAGTGTATTAAAAAGTGAAAGTTCCATATGCAACAATGGATTTCCGGAAATGAAGAGTCCAACTTCTGCTGATAACGGTTCGGGAATCCCACCTCTTCCACCTACGTCCAACCAATTCTCGGCTCGTAGTCGTGTGGGTGTCCGGTCAAGGCAAGTGATATTGTCTTATTAATTATCTTTGGATGATATGTTTGAACCTTTTGTGGCTTAGGCACGACAGCCCTTGTTTGTTTTCTTGGTCTGATTCTGAAATAGGATGTTTAATTGTTAAGAATATACTTGATAAGCCCTATGCATCAAACTAACATTTTTAGTGTAATGCCAAGTTTTTTGTTCCCACTCCAATGTCTCCTGTTGAAGAGACGGGGAACAGTACTTCCAATGAGCAAGAAACTTCAAGTAATAGCGAGAATGATTCAGTCACTACTGTTAGTGGATCGTTCCAGTTTCATGCACCAAATCAAGCGCGCCTATGCAAAGATTTGCAAGCATGGACAACCTCTCAAATAAAGGAGCTGGCATACTAGTTAGCTTTCTAGTTGCATATTAGCTTCTTTTATCTTATGTGATATCAGTCTTCAGACTGTGGGTTAATGTTCTTACACTGATTCTAAAGATGCTTGTGAAGGAAAAGGGAAAAAAACACAAAAGTAGTTTGAATTCAAAATTTATGTTACAATATGTAATATCAAAATCAATACATATTACATGTATAAACTACTTAACCAAAAATAAAAAATAAAAAAATGTTGCCAATGTCTTCACAAGTCTCAAGCTTGAGAACATCCTTGTACAAAGTTTACTATTGTGTACTTTTTCTAATGTTGTTATTTCAGATTCAAAACAGAGCAAGATTTTGAAACATCCCTTGTGTCTCTTGTAGCAGTTGCCGAGGCGGATAGTGGCAATTCAGTGGTTGATAATGGCAATGGCAATTGAATCGCTGATAATGGCAATTCAATTCCTTCTCTCTCTCTGCCATTTGATTAAACAGTTTCTTTCCAATCTCAAACGACACAAAAGCATCAATAGCACCATATTCAACTTGTTCATAGCTCAAATTCTCAGCATCCCACTTACTCAAAGTAACCTTCTCTGGCTTTTCCATTACTTTCCCAAGTACTGCTTTTGCCATTCTCTTCAACCCCATCTTTCCATACACATATTCTCCATAATGCAACAATGCAAGTCGGTTCAAATCCACAGTATTCGCCACAAAAAGCCCGTGATCACACATCAACTTCTCAGCATCTCCCTCAACCCCGACACCAACGAATGTGAAATTTGGGTTACTCAGAAATTGTGCGAGGTCTCCGGGCATGGAATCTTTGTGTAGGAGTTGAAAAAGAAGGCAACGTCGGCCTACACAAAGTTGGAGAAGAGCAACTGGTTGTTTGTCTTTTGGATTGAAATAAGGGAGCCACTCGATATCAAGACCAATAAGGAGTTTGTGCAGTCTTCGCCTATGAGTATGATAAGTATGCAAAATCCAGTCATTAACAACAATTGCATTCTTCGTTACAGTAACTTCTATTTGATCACTGTAGAAAGAAACTCCGTACACTTCAGCCATTGATAAACAACAGTAAAACAGAGAACTTTTGTTAATATGGAGTATAACTTGTGGAATGGAATGAAAAGGGGCTGTGTATATATATAAATAACAGAGCGAGTTTTCCTAATTTACGTGGGATTGGAAATGGGAAGTAACGGTTTGGTGTGCAACAAGAATTAAAACGTTAGTTTCCTAATTTTGTAGCGTCAATTAAATGAGAGTTTTTTACTATAATAATTGTAGTATATGGAAATTTTACTTTCCTATTCTGTGTTGGTTTAAGCTTTGGCGGCAAGAATGTAAAACGCGTAATTACAGTAATGTCCGCTAGGTAAAAGGGATATTTTTTTTACTCATGAAAACTTATTCGTAATGGTTTTTATATAAGTTTGTTTTTTGATTTTTTTTTTATTTAGATCAACTTAATGAGTATTTTTTATTGGTAAATATGAAAATTACATCTCAAATATCAAGAAGCAAACGTAATTAGCATTTTAAATTAGGAATCACACCTTTATTATAACACAAAAGTAAACTCAACATTTTCACTAGAGAATTACATTTTCTTTCTGTATATTAAAAATAAATTCACATCAGTAAAATAACATCTTCAACAAGGGAATTACACCAAACAGAATAAGAAAACTAAAAAAAATATCTTCAATAGATAATTAAATAAATTACTAGTTCCAAAAAATCAAAATCATAAATCTCATATTCTTTTTAAGCAATACTTACGAAATTTTTATCATAATTTAATAGTAAAGAGATTTAAATTATATTTAATAACCATAGAATAACACAAATTTTTATGATATAATAAAAGAAGATGAAGATTGAATTTCATCACAATCCAAAAATTCTCATCGAGTCCCAAGTTTTTCGTATTTGAAAGAAGAAAACTCATAGATTTGAGATTAAGAGGAATGCTTATTTTATGAAATTTTAAAATTTTGGAATTCTTTTTTGTTTTGTTTTTGAGTCTTCATGCTAGAGACTACATATAAAAGAATAGAAAATAGAGGGGGGGGGGGGGAATAATAAAA